TTGTAAATAATCCGAAATATATTCCTTTAATGCATGTGAAGGGAATATCCAAATGTGTGTTTGTGCTTGGCTGTCAATGATGATTACTCATAGGGCAGATTCTGACTGGGACAACACAGATTTTCCCATCTGATCTCATTTTGAGTTTTCTAGTCTGAGAACACCCAGAGCATGAATCTGTTTGTCTGACCAAGCACACATTGCTCGACCCCAGCACTAACTGTGTGTCTCTGTCCATATGTATCGCAGCCATGCAGGAAGACGCTCTGAAGCTGGTGCTGCTGGCGCTGGAGGACGGCTCGGCTCTCTCGCGGAAGGTTCTGGTGCTGTTTGTGGTGCAGAAACTGGAAGCGCGCTTCCCTCAGGCGTCTAAGACCAGCATCGGTCATGTAGTGCAGCTGCTGTACCGCGCCTCCTGCTTTAAGGTCAGAGCTAAAATCAGCTTCCTTTGCGCTAAAACCGCTGATCACTTAACAGCCATTACGCTCAGTACTCCTTCTGTGTGGACTAGGAAAAGAGTGATCTGATGTGTTAAGCCTGCCGTAACGTGATATCATGTGGACATAAAGTGCTTGGCAATGGGAATATCTAATAAACTTGATATTTGTAAATGAGCTCGAGACCTTTACTGGAGCTTGATTTACTGTGGCACCTTATGAAATCAATAATTTCCATGAAATGTCGATCTGCGGTGCTTGTTTGGCTCAAGTTGAGTGTGGTAATTATGGGGCTTGCGCTAAACTTATATGCACACCGATATGCATTTCTCTTGCTCTGTTTTCAGGTGACCAAACGTGATGAAGACTCCTCCCTCATGCAGCTCAAGGAGGAGTTTCGCACTTACGAAGCCCTGCGCCGCGAACACGATGCTCAGATCGTTCACATCGCAATGGAAGCGGGACTGCGCATCTCACCGGAGCAGTGGTCGTCTCTGCTGTACGGGGATCTCATGCACAAATCTCACATGCAGTCAATCATAGACAAGGTACCACATGTATATTGCACAAAGCTTAAAAATAATATAATATAAAATAATAATATAATAATAAATATATAAATAATTAAAATACGACATCAAATAATATTGGAATAATAATTGGAATAATAATTTAATACATTTTTATAAGTCTCTCATGCTCACCAAGGCTGCAATTATTTGATAAAAAATACA